CCGCCCGTGCCGCCGCGTCAAGTCGCAGCGTGGAAGCCGCACGCAGGAAACGCACACCCGGCGGCCTTCACAATCGTGCGCGGAAAGCCAAATCGCCTCGAGTTGACGGACGCCGCGTGTCCAAAACGACGTCGGTGCACGCTAACCGCAAAGAAACCAGCTGTGAAATCAACGGGCACTTCCTGCTTTCCCGTGTGACGGATTTGAGCGACGGAGAAGCTTTTATTTTGAAGGCTCTTTGTTTTCCGGCGCATCTTCAACCTGCCGCAGGACGCGCGCTTGTTCACCGACGCGCTCGCCAAACGCTCACGTGACCTTTATTTTGACAAACGAGCGGAGGACGAGGTGCGGTGGCGTCATTCTAGCGACCTTTCACACACTTTTGGACGCGGTACGGAGTTTTATTCGTCAAATAAATATTTCGTGCTGTACCGTTAACATAAATAACAACATGGTGTTGACCTCACGTGGTTATGACCTTTGGATATTTCACAGAATGTGGGGCGAATCTTATCAGTACAAAAATACTCCTTTGCACGAGAAAATAAAAGTCCTGGCGCTATGTGCAGCACTTTGTGTGCAGCGATGGCTGTTTGAAAGTGCTCGAGAAATACAGTTGAGTTGCGTAGATGGCGTTCAAGTGGTTGTTTGCTGTCGCCTTGGTGACGGGGCACCGTTGGCCGACGTTCAAATGGCCTGTTGTTGGGCCACGTGACATCACCGTGACGTCGGGGCATTCCATTCAAGCCACGGAAGCATTTATCCAACAGATTGACGGATGGATGTCACGCGTGCGCCGAATTGTTCATGCACGAGCACGCTCGCAATTGGTGGTCGTTTAGATGGAGACTACTGGCGCGTGAGCCACGCCTCCTAGTTGAGCGTCGTCGCGTTGCCGGTCGGGGTTCGTTGTGTACTCGTCAGCCAAAAGATTTGCATCTGAATTCTCATTTCCCGCCGGAGTGGCTTCAGGAGTTGAGCTTCTGGAACTTCTCTCGGAGATTTTTCACCGAGTTGTGCTGTCCGGCGGCCGAGGTTTCCGAGCGGTCGGCGACGGCGGCGCGGACGTGTTCCGCGGAGGACGAGGTGGTCCTCGAGCCGTCTTGAGACTCGGCGCTTTGGCTTCTCTGCTTGTATTCGTCCGACTCCTGGTAAGCTCGGCAGCGGTCGATGACGGCCAAGATGGAGATCTTCTCCCTGCTCGTCGGCGATCGGATCTCCACGTAAGCGTCGCGGTCGACATCGACGGTCTCGGCCGGTTCCGGTTCTTGCAAAGGCTCCCCCGTGACCAAGGGCCGCCGGGGGGGCGTCTCGGCCGCCACGCGGTCACCGCCGCCGTCGGCACGCAGGCGCTCTCGGCTTTCGCGCATGGCGGCCAAGCTTAGCCAAGGGTCCAGGGAATGAGCCCTGTGGAGCCCCTTGCGCGATTTCAGGTGGCCGGGGGTCCAGGTGGCGTAGGCCGGGCCCGGTGAGGCTTCGCTCAAGGAACGCCGCCTCCACCTGACGTCGAACGTCCGCTCCGGGACGGAGGACGTCCGGCCCGCGGCGCCGGACGCGCTCCGGTCCGAGTACTTGGACCGCAGCGCTCGCACGTTGGGCCAGTCGAAGCTTTCGGCGTCCCGAGGAACGCCGACGGGACGGCCGGAGGCGATCGGGGCCGGAGAGAAGACGGCGGGGTCGGGCCTCTGCGACGGCACCTGATCCGGAGTTGGACTGGCGCCTGACACACAACGAGAGCACGCCTTCAGTCAATGAATTGAACTTGAGCGGACTCGGACAGGAGCTAAGCGGGCGGCGCTTTTCTTACCGCCGTGCGGGCTTTCCTCCAGCACATCGGCCAAAGTCTTCTCGCCCGTCAGCTGCGCGCAACTTCGCTGTCCGCCGAGCGGTTTGACGCTTTTGATGCGCCGGCTGTACCGACGAGCGAGATGGCGGACCTTGGTGTCCGCTTTGTCGTCCTCATCTGCGGTTTGGGTCCCGAGCGGGGCACCCCGGGGGAGCTGATCTCCGCGGACGGCGGCGGGAATCGTTTTTCTGACGGGCGAAGCCGGCCGGGTCTCCTCCGAAATGGCGTTCGGCTTCACCCGACGTTTTGCCGGCGCGACATCGGAAAGGCGGCGAGTCCCGTCGAGCCGCTGCTCCATCAGCCGCCAGACCGCAAGCATTTCGCCGGAGGGTCGGAACTCTTCGTCCTCCGTACTCTGCCGTCTCGGCGGTCCGGCGCGGGACGAGCCTTGCGCGACCGAGCGCAAAGCTTTGGATTCTACGTTCATCCCGGTGACCGGCCGAGGGTCGCGAGCGTCGGCGGGGGCCGCGCCACCTTTGGAGTCGAGCGACAGCGAACGAGACTCCTCGGTCGCGGGCCGGGGGGGCTCCGCCCGGTCGGGGATGCTGTTCAGGCGGCTGACGGAGGTTTTGACCAGGCCCGCCGGGATGTACGTCAGACTCTCCCTGCGCCGGAGGCCGAAGCCGGCGTCCTGGTTCTCGGCCTTCTCGTAGTAAGTCTTGATCTTCCCGATGAGAAGTTGGTCGCGGCCGCAGAGGGTGGAGTCTCGTCTGTGCGGGGTGCCCCTTTCCTCGTCAAAGCGAGCGTCGCCCCGGGGGGACGAGAGCGCCCGGTCGCCGCCGTCGGCGGGATCGCCGTCGAGCGGCGAGGGCGGCCCGGC